AGGTGGCCAGAGCTTTCAGGAGGGGCGCTGGGGTGGGTTTCTTCAGCACTCTCTGTTTTCCCCCACAGATATTACAATTGTGTGTCCTTTCCCGGGTATCTGGCCAGAGGGACCCAAGGTCCCTCCAGGATGAAAACATTCGAAGAATTTCCCATGACCCCAACGACCTACAAGGCCTCTGGAGTAAGTGGGAGGGGTCCGTGCATCCCGGATCAGGGCCTCTGGGCTCTGCCTGCAGGGAGGCACATGTCAGGAACTTCTGAGGCAAGCGGCAGAAACCAGCTCAGAAAAGGGGGTCAACTGTCCCTTGAAATGTCCTGGTTGTGCCTCCACATGTGATGCCAGAGTCTCTTAGTGGCTTTGGCCGTGTCCTCCTCACTCGCTCAGACCCAGCTCTCTTCCAGCAGGGTAGAAACCCCAGTGTAAAGATGGCTCCTCCTTCCAGGTGGTTCTTAGTGGAATACCCTTTGGTGACCACCAAGCCTTGTGGCTAGAGGGAAGGGGACAGTGTCACGGAGGATGCTGGTGCACGGGGCACAGGAAAACCACCTGTGTCCCCAGATGCAGTCAAGGGGAGTGGAGCTTTCACAGCTCCGTGCCGCTGGAGCCAGGGTGTCCATTTTGTAAAAGCATAGGCTCAGCCTTGACTTCCAGTGGACATAGCTAAGACCCTTCAAGTCCCAGCTTCCCTCAGAGAGTGCTGGCCTGGGACGGCTGGGCTAGAGCCCCACAGACCCCACTCAATTCCCAGGGCCAGATGAAGATGTTGGGGACCCTCAGCTCTGACAAAAGGGCAGTTACCCTCCATTAAATAGAAAATGAAAACCACGCTCACACAAGATTGAAGGGTGACAAGGGCCCTCTAAACCTGGAACGTGTCTGCATGAGGATCGTTTTCCCGCACAATGAGCTGCCAGATTCTTTAGACACTTTCCATGTCCCTTTGGGTGCTCCTGCTCTGCCTGTTCCCTGGACACATCCACGGCCTCTTTGTAGGTCCTCCGGCGTGGGGCGTCCCAGCTTTCCTGCCTCCTGAGCATGGACCAGGTGCGGCCCCCAGGCCTCAGTTTCTCCCTCTGTGACCCTCACCTGCACACTCCAGTGAGCGAACGGATGCCCATTTCCTGCTCACTTCTCACAGGACTGGCGTCAGGTCGGCAGCAGTGTGGATGTACGCAGCCCCGCTCTGCCGGGGGCAGCTGCCTGTGGCCTGGCCGCGCGTGGCCCACCGCTTTGGCTTACTCTCTTCGCACAGGATAACCAGACAGACAGTGGAATGGTGCTGGCCTCTGAGGAGTTTGAGCGGCTGGAGAGCAGGCACAGACAAGAAGGCGGCCTCAGGTAGGGCTTCCTGAGCTTCCTCCCCTGCCAGGGGGCCGGCGAGGTAGGCTGGGCCTGCGTGTGTCCATCGCTGTCTTACTTGAAACTTTTCATGGCTCCCTATTGCCTTTTCCTGTGTTCAAGGCAAGTCACTCTGGAACTCCAGGTCTTTGGCCATCAGCCTTCCCAAAGGAGCCCGCTCCTCCATCACCTTCCTGACCCAGCACACCTGGTTCTGGTCCCCATACCTCCCTTCCATTTGACAGATGCTCAGACACCACCTGTTTGTAAAGTATGATCAACCACGTCCAGTGCGCATACACAGCCCTCCCCCAGCCAGGGAGGACCACCACTATCCCCTGAGCCCCCAGCACTTAGCCCAGTGGTCTCAGGAGCCAGACAGATCACATGACCTGGAGCTGGCTAGTGTCCTATTTTGATAAGAATACAGTTATAGAAAAATCCTCACTTGTGTGCCTGTACAGAAGGTAACTTGGATCGGTGATCACCACTGGCCCAAGAAAATAGGCCCCCCCCCAAAACCTGAATATTTGAACTTTTAAGGGTATAAAGTAGTTAAATGTTTACTGATTCACTTCATTGGTTGATTTGCACATGGCTGTTTAAATGGCAGGACCTACAATACTGTATAAAACAGGGCTCTTTTCTGCCTTCTTCAGACCACTCACTTCCACCTTTGATATCTGCATCTTTGCCAGGAGCCCGTTTTTGAGTCGCCTGACACAGTTGTCCAAAGCCAATCTTGCCTGGCTTTTGCCTATGCTGTTTTGGAATCAATTTATATGTTGTCACTGAACATTTTACCTTAAACAAGTATTTATTTGTATTACATAAAGACAGTTGATCTCTTTTTTCACCTGTCTGGTAGGTGTATTTCCAGCGTCACCGGTGTCAACCAATGGTCGTTGGCACCAATTCAACACCAACAGGAATCCCAATTTGGGGTGCAGTAAAGAAGGAAATTTTAGTCCTTGAGTGCATACAGCTCAGTTGTGAGATAGCATGGCTGCAGAAGAGCAGGGCTGTGAGACAGCTCAATATTGTTGCAGCTCAATTCTAATATAACATGGCTGTGGAACAGCATGGCTAGCGACCCTGGGCATGAGGCAGCCCTGGGTGCGAAGCCCCTTTCCAACTAATCAGCTCCACTCTGCTCCACTCTGTTCAGCTTCACTCCAGTCACCCAAGACAGGACAGCGCTACTCCATTCTGGTCCAATGAGACATCTCTGAAGTTTCAGCTCCAACCAGGAAACTGCAGTCTGCAGTCTTTAGTGGAAAGGGAAAGTGTGCTCCTTGAGCCAGAAGGGAGCTGACTTCCATAGAGAGAAGTCCCTGTCCCTAGTCCCTGATTGAGGACTCTAAATCCTCACAGATTGATTGGTCCAGAAAACACTGTCCTGATTGGTCAGAATTGAGCCTCTCTGATTGGTTGGTGAGATGCTTATGAGGATATAGCTGCACAGCTCTGATTGGACAGGGAAAATCTCAGTCCTAATGGTTATAATAGGATTTCAGGAACTCCTTTAGAAGGGCTGGCTCAACGGACTGGAACACACAGCAGGCAGGCTTCTCCCTGAAGTGCAGCTTGTGTGAGAGTCCCCTGTTTAGCAATGGCTGCTAGGCTGTGTCTATAACTTTGAGCCCAGTTAGCCATCAGGAACCCTTCTCAACAGGTACATTTATTCTCGGAGTCGGCACCAATTATCAGTTATTTTCCCAGCAGCCTATAAAGGGTGAGTTTGCAGGACTGTGAACACTGGCATTTCATATGCCCAAGTGGTATGGGGCATTTGGGCCTTCTCTTTTGTTTTTATTGGGCCTTCTCTATTAGTGACCTGGTTCTGGAAAATTAATGCTAATTGCATTGACAGAAATCGTTTTTGGCTAATGTTTCTTTACCAAACAGTATTTTATCTCTCAGAAAAAAGTAATTCAGTAAGAGGGTAAGCCAGGGGATGATAGCTACTTAAATTCAAATCTCCACACAGCTTCCTAAAAACAACACATGGAATAAGGCCACTCAGAACCTGTGCCTGTGACATAAGAAGGAGAGAGACTCCGGTTTATGTGTGAGAAGGGAACTCAGCACCAGCACCAGCAGAGCTATGCTGAGCCATGGCGGAAGTAAACTCAGACAGGGACTGCCCCAGGAGAGGGGAGTGTGACAAGGTCCTTAGGGTAGTGGCCCCAGACCGGGGAGATAATGAGGGGCTGAGACCTGGTGGGAAAAGCAGGGCTCCCAGGGCAAGTCTGAGGCACAAGGGCCGCCGTCTTGGGAAGCCACTGCTTCTGAAGGGTGGTGAGCAGGAAGGGAGTGTGCACCTCAGTTGCTTGCTGGTGGTGAAGGAAGAAGAAAGTTGCAGGTGATGAGAGTCCTACAGAAGCAAGATCATATCCAGACCAGAAGACAGACACACACACAAGGGAGCTGATCATTACAAAAACTCATGGCAGCGGCAACATTCTGTGCAACTTTGGAAACACGTATGATGAGCAACAAAGAAGTGCAGCAGGTCACTTGTCAGGTGCATTCATTTGGCATATGGAACGTTCTCCAAATAAGTGCAAACATAGAATGTGCCTCAGGGGGGCCTGTGGGGTGAGGAGAGAAGGATGGTGTTTATCTTCCAAATCCTTCCCTGTCTCTTATTAACCACTGGTCAGCACTCACACTGTGGGGAGTTAACTAGTCCTCACCTCCAGCTTGCTCATCCAGCCCTTTCAGTGGCTACTCAGGATGCTAGATCCCACGCCCTGCAGTGTGGCATTTCATCCACGTCTGTAGGTGAAAGGAAGGCCTGGAAACCCTGGGCTTATGGCAGGTCAGCATGGCAGCTGCTGAGAGGAGGCCCAGCACTCCCAGCTAAGTGACTGGCTGGTCCCGGGTGGTGATACGATGAGATATGGGACATGAATTGAGTCATTGGAAAAGGCACAGTTGAAGGAATTCAAGGTGACACCAAAGATATGGGTCTGATACATCACTCCTGAATGAAGAAACCTAGTAAGCCACCCACATCCCTAGTCTCTTCCAGAGGGTCACCAGCTATTTTTGGTCTGGGAAATCCTAACATGAATAATTATGAGCACGATCCATACTAAGAACAAAAAAGAAAATTAAGACGAAAACTTTTTGGTGGATATAAACACTCAAAAGAATGAAGCAGAGGGCCGGCCGAGTGGCGCGATGGTTAAGAGCTGGCTTGGGACGCCAGAGGGCCCCAGTTCAGATCCCACATATGAAGGCCAGTGACACTGCCCTCCACAGCTAAGATGCTGAACAACAGCTC